ATCGAACATTCTTAATTTAGTTTCCGACTTTTTTGTATCTATTTTATGTGTCATTATATAATTAAGTTTAAGTTGTTTGTTTCTATTTTTGATATTTGCTTGATATTGCTTATTAAGAGACAATTATCCTTACATCTTAAATGATATTAAGGAGAGGATTTTATCCGAAAAAGTTGGGTCCAAATGGTTAAATATGAGATTAAATTGTGCTCATCACAGTGAAATCTTCGAACCATTTTTCTTATTGTTTTGGTTATTCAAGTTTGTTATATTGTTAGCTTGCCTCTTCATTTTCTATCACTTTGCTTTTCTTGGTTCAATCTGCAATCTGTTTTCAAAAAACGATAAATTCCTGAGTTTTGTACGAAAAATTCTTAAATTGTGTCCTGAGTGTATATTATTTAGTTTTTGTGTGCCAATTTCAGTTCAATGTTCTAGCAATCGCTCGCCTTCTGCCTCGGTTATTAAATACTTGCAATGATCTAGATTGTGAAGACTTTCCGTAATTGCTGATGCCTGAACGGATTTACAATTGGTTGATTTAAACATTTGCAAATATAAAAATATATTAATTAATGAAATGGGTCAAGGCCATATCGATAAAGTAAATAGAATCATATTATTAAATCAATCACCTTCGCAGCTTAATAATATTATTCAAAATTCACCTTAACTGGGGCAACATTTCAGCAGCCAGCGATCTAACTAACCCACCGAGAAAATCATTTTATTAGGAAGTATCGTTGCACAGAATTTCCATATTTTAACTTCCTGCGCTTTCAAGGCTCCGAATTGATTAGCAATTTGGGACTGAACATTATTAGGCTAATTATCATTACATTCCCGTAAAGACTGCTTTAATGAATTTTGATTTTACCGACTTGAAGGCTTTGCCACTTCCGATTTGATGTGAAATAGAATTGTTTAGGCAAAGGTCGTTTGCGTGAAAGCCACTTTGTTGATTGCTTGCTTACCTTTCGATTCCCTTTAGTAAGTTTCGGTGTTTTTTCGAGATGAGAGCGCCTCCTCCCCAGGCAGCATCAACATGCAACCACATGTTGTTTTTTTTGCAAATATCTGCCAGTTTTTCTATTGGATCGAATGCCCCTATCACTGTGGTACCTGCAGTGGAGCTCACCATAAAAGGCCTTTCTCCTGAAAAATGTTTCATATTTTTTTGATCCCAGGGTTGTCTAGTTTTTGTCAACGTACCGTTTTCCAGACTTGTGTTGATAAGCTGCTCCAAGTGATCCGGATCCATTTTTCCCTGAGAATTCGTATTGACCAGATGGACGTTTTCAGTTCCCAAACCCAAGAAAGACGCCAATTTTTTTATGGAATAATGAGCATCCTCTGAGGTAAATAGCACAAGTTTGGGCAATCCGTGCAACCCTTTTGTCTAAAAGTACATATTACTCAGGGCTAGATCTTAACCGGCCAATGTGTATTCTTACCTTAACTTCAGGGAAATAATAGTGTCGGGCACAGCTAATGGCATAGCCATTAGCCATGGATCCTCCAGGGCAAAAAATCCCATCGCCTTCTCCATTTGGCCAGCCCACAATTTGCCTCATTTCCCTCAACACCGTTTCTTCCATGAGAATTACCACGGGCGCCACTTCGTAAGTATACGCACTGGGATTTAGGGCATCCGTCAGCATTTGCCCCACAAACCCATATGGGTCCACACTGGAAAAGAGCTGATTGACGAAATACGGATGTCCGGTTTTCACTGAATATTTGATGACGTCCTTGAGGCTTTTTATCAAGTCACTGTGAGAGCTGGGCTGGGCTTTTAGGTCGAAGTCCAAGAGTTTTAAGAGCGTTTCTGGCTGCTTGAAATCGAGAACTTTGGTTCTTCTGGATGTTCCTTCGAAGATGGCCTCTCGAAGCATAATGTCTATGCATTCTCTGAAAAATGCTTCGTGATCTCTTTTCGATGGCAGGCTCTCTATGGTGGCTAATTTGTCGGCCGGTAGAGTAGTGGTGGTGAAGGATCTTTCGATGGTTCGGGATAAACATGCGGCTTCTTCGTCTAAAAAATCAGTTGTTAGGATGATTGAGGGTTTTGACCCAATAATTATTCCATTAATTCTAGTTGAACTTGACGCTGCCGGACTCAACTTTGAAGCCGAATATGCGCTCTGTAAAATTTCCGTCTTTTCAAACACTTTTATTGTTGTATTCGAGGTTTGTTCTCACGAGAACAGATAAGCGCAACGAGTTTTAAGCGCACGAAATTCTTAAATATCAAATACCAAACAAGAGCTAGAAGAGATAGGAATTTCGCTCAGGCATTGATTTGATTGGACTGAAAAGTCCATATAGGAAAATAGTTTCACTCATGCAGACTGGCGAAAAGTGTAATGTTATGTATCTTAATATTGTATTTTGTTTGTTGTTTTCCCTAAAGTTTGCAATGCAAATTTAGTGGTATTTAAATAATTCTAGTTAATTGTTCATTCGCGTAATTTATGAATAGAAAATAATGCGAACCGAGCGTAAGTAAACGCAACGTGCACTGACTAAATGTGTGCACGGGCAACAAAATAAGCACGGGCTAAATAAAGCATTTCTTTAATGAATTCAGTTTGGAATGAGCAATGATGTAAACATGGATTTTTAAAAGGAAAAATTGAATTTGGCAGTGGACGTGCACATGTGCCGCTAAGGAATTGCCGAATTTATTTATACAGGGCGTTCAATCTATTAAGGGCCATTAAAACAAGCATTTTTTCTTTTTGCCTGCAAATCAAGAGATTCTATACATCGTGGTCCAATCCTCAGACTATATTTTTTATAATTGTGTAAATAACGCTCCTCCCGACTTTATTGCAATTTTAACAGGTTTTCCCAATTAAACTAGACTTTTTCAAATACAATTCGTATTTTATTTTATTTCGTTTACTGCATTCAAAGCTCGAATTATTTCTTCACCAGTTTTGAAAACCTTATTTAAGAAAAGCAACTAAAAACGTACCTGTTTATAACTTGCAAATTTTCCTTTTTTATGATTTGCTTTCAAGACAAAAAAATGAGCCAAAAATAAATAATTTTGTAGTAAGGGATATAATATTAGATTCGATTGAAGGTTTTTTTTAGATATCAACCAAAAAGCTATTATTTTATAAATTTTAAGACTCGGGATCACAAAATATTCGGTTTCAGGGATTTATTTTTATAAAGTAAGACAAAGATTGCCACATTTAATAAACTCTATCGCTTCTAAAAGTTTTAGGTTTTCATTTTCTTTCATATTAAAAATTTAAGAAGTTAAAATTTCATTTCATTTTCATTAGTTTCGAAAAAACCTCTTAGATTGTTCAACAAAGACTTTCTGAGCACAATGTGCCAGAGAAACTGATTGCCAGTAGTAATATTAATAATGAACCTTCTATTGTTTCTTCATTTAAGTATCAAAAATATTTCACTTTAAATGTTTACCATCCTTTTAATCAGACCACTCTGTATATCATTGAGTCATTTGAAGTAGCATGTTATTTCCAAATATTTGAGCATTTGGATTTCATTAAAATTGTTGATGGAAAATTCATAAAAGTTGCATAAAGTAAGAATCATTTTTTTAAATATAACTTTCCTTAAATATTGTTAGCCTTTCGTAGTTTTTGAGCTACTTGACTCTAACATTGTTAAAATCTATGAAACATTTGAAAGAAATGAAAACAAATCAGGAACGTCCGAAGGTACTTATTCATTTTACAGAATTTATTATTGATCTAATTTTTTTTGCATATTGGAATGCGAAAATATATACAGAATTGCGGAAAAGTTGCACATAAAAAGTAGTCTGAGGAAATCGCTTTCTATATTATTATGTATTATAAGTATATCTGTATTGTAAGCATTTTAAACTTACATACACATACAGTTTCACTTTGAATTCTAGTTTTGCAAATAAAGCAATTACAAATTTCAGTTGGTACGAACGACTTTTTGAACACTTTATTTCGCAACGATTCAAAAATTATTTTGTTTACCATCTGATTTTAAATATTTGTAATAATACTTTTTAGTAATATTTGATGGAAATTGCGTAGGAGAGTAAGAGCAATTAGTCGCCTCGGAAAAATTTCAAAATAAAAAATAATACAGAAGAATTTGGTATAAATTGAAATTTACAAACCTAAAACCCGTCCTTCTGAAGGGTTTGCAAAGATAGAATCAAAAACTAAAATTTCTAATATTATTGAACAAATTACCTTCAGAAGACGCCAAGGTGTCACTGTAGGACTCCGACTCGTCCACATTTATCTCCCCTTGACCATTCGCGGGCATTTTTCAACTGTTTACACTGAACTCTAAAACTGAATGACACGAAAAGCTTTCTGGGTGATTCCTCGTATGTACGACTGAATCACCAATTCTTGGTTCGAAAGTGATTACGGATTGAGTGAGCAAATCCAAGAACCAACCGAGCTTTAAATGATCGGTTTTGTGACGTGGGAGTGCGGGGATTTCGCCTTTTATCGAGAAATAATGGGTTTCTTTGGGTTTTACTGCTGAGCTGTTTCATTCATAATTGGGTTGCTGAATTATAAATTGATAATTGCTTCTTGCAATTGCATAGATTGAAATGACTTTGAAATTTTCTAGGGATTCTCGGTACTTGGACTGATACACTTCTCATCAAAACTGCATTATTTAATTTGTTCCACTCATTTTACCATAGGTAGTAACTATTTGCAAAAACTTCTTTGTTTTAATTATTCGATCGATAATAATTGCACTTATGAAATAGTGCTGTCAAGGTTCCAGCATGGGAACGGTTAGTTAAAGCTAATTATGGCTGGTAATTATCAGTAGACAACCATCAAGATAGATTTTCGACCTTGTTGTCTTATGAATTTTATAGCGGATAGAACTGTGTGCCACTGAACAGGTGTACGACCAATAATTGACTTTTTTAATTAATAAAAATAGGTCAGATATTATTTTTATTGACTTTCGTTTTAATCAAGTTCGGAAACACGGATGGTGGTTATTTGCATGAAACGATTAATGTTTACTTATTTTCTCATTAACTGCTTAAGTTGCAGGCATGCTGGGTTCGCCAAACAACGTCTTCAATAAAATCCAATTCGGAGTATAGTTAGCAACGCTAAGGAAGCCTAAATGGTCAATAATGCCTTTGGAAGAACATGATTGTTTTGAAGTGAAACACATGAAGTGTTTCCGTTTTGTATTCAGAATTATTTTTTTTATTGATAAATATCTTACCGAATGTTGAAATCAAATCCTGGATTAGTCTGGGCTTCGTATACAGCAAAGCTTCGATTATCCAGTTCTGATACCCACATTTCAATACCTCAACTGGTTGCTCAGAAACTGGCTTCACTCTGGCTTCACTCAGAAACTGGCTGGTATTATGATGGTACCTGTGCCTTGAATGAGACTAAATTAAATTCGCATCTATAATAAAGCTTTCTTTATCGAGTGCTGATACCCATATTAAGATACGTCGACGCGTTGCTCATAAACTGGCTTCAGAAGAGATTCATGTCAAAACAGAAAACCGAACAAACTTTAAAAACTTATTATCGGTACCAGTGCCTTGAATTGAGTCAAATTCTAGTCACATATAAAATGTAGGTTCTGTATTGAAACCTCCATTCGGATAGCTCGACTAATTGCTCAGAACAAAGCTTAAAAAGAGTATAGCGTAAAAATGAGATACCACTGGAAAATAATCCAAAATTTAAAAATTTATTGTGATGGCAGCACTGCCTTAAATAAAACCCAATTTACACCACATGTAAGTTAAAGCTTTTCCTACCGAGTCTTGAAGTCTCTATTCCGATGGGTCAACCGATTGCATAGAAATGTCTTGAGAAGTGTATGATGTAAAAATGAAAAGTCGCGCAAAAGCACGACAAAGTTTAAAATTACCTTTTGATGTAGCCACTGCTTTGAATAGTACGAAATTTATACCAGCTCTTGTGATCGACTGCTCAAATCCTCATTGCAATGCAATAACTAGTTGCAGAAATCGTATTTAGAAATATGTGGTGAAAAAATTAAAAACCTCGCAATAACAGTCCAAAGTTGAAAATTATATTCCGATGGCACTCGACCGTCGAATTCTAGCAAATTTAAAGGAGAAATATACTAAAGGTTTTGTTATCGAGTGTTAGAATATTTATTCCGTTATCAAAACTAGTTATCAAACTAGTCAGAAATCGTCTTTGGAAGTTTATGATGTAAAAATGAAAAATCGCTCAAAAGCACGACAAAGTTTAAAAATGTATTCTGATGGTGCCAGTGCTTTGAAAAGTACCAAATTTATACCAGACGTAAACTGCAGGTTCTCTTATCGAGTGCTCAAATATTCTTTGCGATGCAACAACTAATTGTTGAGAAATTGTATTTGGAAATTTATGGTGCAAAAATAATAAACTACGCAAAAATCGTTCAAAGTTTGAAATTAAATTCCGATGGTTCCCGTGCCTCGAATTATAGAAACTGTGAACTGCATATAAACTGAAGCTTTTTTGTTCTCGACTATTGAAATCCTTATTCCAATATCTCAAGTGATTGCTCAGAAATCAAGTTTAGAAGGTTATGATGAAAAAATGCGAAATAGCGCAGAAATACTGCAGAGTTCAAAAATTCATTCTCACGGCGCCAGTGTTTTGAATAGTACAAAATTTACACTTCGGGAAAACTAAACCCTTTCTTATCGAACGCCGATCCCACTATTACGATATCTCAAGTAATTGCTCAGAAATCGTTTTTAGAAGTGTAGGATGTAAAAATGAAAAACCGTGCAATAACTCCTTAAAAACTCATTGTGATGGTACCAGTGCCTTGAATGGAACAAAATTCCAACCACATTAAAGCTAATGAAGCTTTCGTGATCTCGTACCAAAAGCTCCATTCGGAGATCGCAACCGATTGGTTCAGAAACTCGCTCTAAAAGATCATTATATAAATGGCAAACCTTCTTTAAGGTCCCACATTTCCATCTTTTATTAATCATCATTTTCTTTCTGTTTGTATTTGGGATTTGTTCTTTGTTGAAAATCATTTGGCTGCAATTTTGGGCTTTGCTATACTCTCTCTCTGATAACTTACGTTAGAAATCAATTAGCTTCGTGCAATACTGTATTTTTAAATGAATTTTAAATATGTGTTAATGTATACATAAATTCGAATCGAATGCATCCGCAGTGGTAAGAAATAATTCCAATTTGCCTAAGCAACAACGACATTTTGAAGCTCTAGTCTGGCTTTGGTATTAAAAAAGTTCCTCAAATCACTACGAAAACTGTTTTAAGCGAACAAAGAAATACAGCTTTAAACTTTAAATTACAGAGGCGAAGATACATTCTTTCGAAAGTATCTTTCAGGAAGTTTTCCTGAAAGTTGATTGAAACAAATTCGGAAAGTTTTCACGGAAGAATTTGTTCCTTTTTAATACATTCAGGTGCCTAATGGAAAATTAGTATTTATATAGGATGCAGCAAGAAAGGCTTTTACCCAGTGCATCTGAGCTTTTCGTGCTGGAATCATGGGAAATAACGTTGAAGGAATAACCATACGCAAGTGTGGTAAACGAATTTTTACTGGCAATTTGTCTGCCTCAGATTTCTTTGTTTGTCACTGATTTACTGATGATGAATTTCCAGTTAGTTAAGACTCCCATCAGTCTTTAGGGTCCATCCAGCATATTTCTTCTCGTTCTAATGCTAGCAAGTATACGTGGTTTTCTTTGCTTATTCATTTAAATATAACAAAATCAAATACATACATTCTCCAGCACCGACGCTGTTTGAACTCTTAAATATTTACTCCTTTCTTACCACACTAAATTTAAACACAAGCAATGTTCCTCACCCGTTCTGCGCCCTAATACATAAAATATTCTTAATACATTTTCCTTCTACTTGGTTAATTTCGATCATCAAGATAAATGATGATCTATCGCGTTTGCGCTATTTTTTCCACGTCACGGCTCATATTGTATTACAGGCTCTCATTTTTCTACAATAAATCGTCTGACGAAGACGCTTTATTCTAATTAGCTGAGATATTAAAAGTAACACGCGAAGCAAGGCCAACCTTAACAACAAAGGGCATTGTTTTACAAGGTGAGGTCAAAGGGAAGCACTTTTTATTAGTAGCTGGTAATTTTCCTTTACTTTATTAATTAGATTTTTTCTCTAAATATCGATTTCAATGGTTTAAACTGAGATGGAGATTTGCTTGAATTTGTTTTAATGATAATGAAGTCTGTTGTAATGGAAGGTCTGCAATTGAATATATAAGTTCAGCGTATATTTGTTAACATTCTCATGCCATATGCAGTCGAAGGTCTTTGGTGGACCTGGGAGTTTTAAATCTCCTTACTAACATTCATTGGTTTATGTTTATCTTAGTTGATGAAGGGTTGGAGGTTTTTGTCCCAACTGATTAATGAGACAAAATCGCCACTTTATGGGAACGCTATGTGATTTATTCAGCAGTATTTCCTGCGCTTTCTTGCTTATACTCACTACAGAAAGACAAAAAAGGTAATGTTTTTCCATTCGTTTTAAAACGTTGTCGATGGCGGCATTGTTCTTCCATGTCCTCTAGTTCAAATAAATTTTCGTGCGTTTTTAGAGATCACATCATGATTACTTTGTTTTATTCGCTTTTGCCCTCAAGGAGTATTTGCTCGACTCATTTTCATTCCCAGATGTGCTTATACATTTGTAAACCCTACAAGTTCAGATACGTAGTTCAATTACCATCGTGTCCAAAAGTGGCATTGGATCCGGATCGAAGGACCAAAATGTTCCTTCTGTTGACGTATATTGTAGACTGAGACTTTAGCAGGCCGGGTTTTGCTATTGGTTTATTGCTTTTGAACATGAAATTGAAGCTCAATTTTTCGCAGAACAGCTCAACTTCATTGTAAGACTTACTCTTTCGAGAAATGGTTAATTGTTTTTGTTGCCATACGCGCTCAACTTGCATGTGTTTTTAATTGATTTAGAAATTTCAAAGACTGTTCTTTACTTTGCATCTCTATATCGAACTCAGTCTTCACGGAGCGAAAAAATTTCAAATCGACTGAATTCCGAACAAAATTGTGCGTTATTGTTGAGACCGCTTTTTTACTCAAAACCTCTCTAATTTCAAGCTCATGAAGCCCACTCGAGCGAATTTCAGAACAAAGAAGAATTTTACTGTGAAAACTTTTCAATTATTATTGATTTACTCTGAAACATCAATAAGGCGTTTGAAATACGGCGAAAATTTAGGAAATCGTAAGCGCACAACTTGCGTGTTTTCCAGCCGATTCAGAATTTGGAAGGCAAATCTTTAAGTTTTCCATTTTTCAATAAAACTTACATTGTCGAGACAACAATATCCCCAATCGATTGAGTTAGGAAGTATCATTTCAAAATTTTGGAATTTTAGCTAAAGACGATTTTTTTCTGAAATCTTTTGCTGATTAACCCCAATCCAAGAGGTGCTTTGAAATACGACGAAAATTTAGGAAATCCTAAGGGCACAACTTACGTGTTTTCCCAGCAATTCGCAGGTTTGGACGGCAAATCTTTAAGTTTTCCATTCCTCTATAAAACTTATTTTTACAAGAGAAAAATATCACAAATCGATTGAGTTAGGAGCACTATCACAAAATAGTTTACTAGAAAATGGTAAAAAATTTGGGATTTTAGCTTCAGATGATTTTCTCTGAAATATTTTGCTGATTAGTCCCGAATCATCAATAAGGTGCTTTGAAACGCGGCGAAATTTTAAGAAATCCTAAGGGTACAACTTGCGTGTTTTCCAGGCTATTCATAGGTTCGGAAGACAAATCTTTAAGTTTTCCATTCCTCTATAAAACTTACTTTTTACRAGACAAAACMRTATCTTCAGGCAAGAAAATTGACATACGCCGGGCGCTTGGRCATTTTTATTTAMMAKTTTTTCAARAKACGATTTTTTGTKCATACTTTTCYTGATAAACWKTGAAGCATCCAGAAGGCRTTTTGAAAACTGGAGGAAATTTATCAAACATTATGCACGCASTTATAAACCTTCGTTTTATGGGTGGMAAKATCCCAAATYGACTGAGTTACGTAAACMGKKCKMATTGGGAGCTAATTTACCAGCCTTTAGCCAAACTTTAGCCAAAAATTTGGTATTATCCAAGARAGTCKAWTWWTTGGAAGGTTTCWWASYTCTTCCTGRTWTGAASTKTGAAGMATTAACCARCTTTATCAKKCRTTYWGAGCATAACTTCATACTTTTCKGWSGATTTTCACATTTATATGGSKCTTTTATCTCTCTTAAACATCTCTAATTGCAGGCTAATTTACTCGGAAATGGGGAAATGGGAATTTTTCCTWGAAGCGTTTTTATCGGCAAAACTTTTGTTGGACATCTCTGAAGCCTCAAAAGGGAATTTKAAAATGCGGGTTTAGGCAAWCTTTAGTCCAAGATTTGGCATTYTGCTGCCATAATTAGCTAAATTATTTTTGTTTGTTTGAAGCTTGAATAATTAGCCTCAACGCATTTAATTTTCTTGTGGGTTTTCAGATTTCTAGCCTTATTTTAAAGGCTTTTTGTCTCCCTAGAAAAATTCGTTGTTGGGGTGTTTAAATTATCCAAAAACAACTAAATTAGAACCAAAAGAGTGCAGCTTTGCAGAAATTGTTATTTTGCTAAATTTTGCTTAATTTACATCGAGTAAATCGATGAAGAATTCTGGATTTTACACAGAGTGAGTTTTTTGCTGAAACATTTGTCGAATCATGTCGAAAGCTCAAATGGTATTTAGAAAGATTCTTCCTTTATACGGCAATTTCCAGCAAAAGTTTAAGGTGAAGAAAAGTTTGCGCGGAACATTTAAATGCTTTTCCTCCGGGTGTTTGTTTCAAAAAATTCAGTTGCTTAAGTTTTGCTTGTTGAATGTTTTCAGTGGAAATTCAGCTTCTTCCTTCTCTTTATCGTTACAGAATTTTTTGTAGTTCATCCAATTTTATCCACAAAGAAGTTGTGCTGAGGGGCATTAGAAGATAAAACTGAGATTTTAGATTTAATGGCTGCCAAGGAATGTAATGTAAATAACTGATTAATCCAATTTGCATGCACTTCTTTAGCACACGAGCGTCTTGATTTTTTACTTTCTTGAATTGGCCCAACTTCAAGTAGTCTCATTAAGGGCAAGTTTATTTTCTAACTTTAAACAAAAATATTATTGCTCGACACGTAAAAGTTTGGGGCCCAATCCGTGCCCAACTTTCGGTATATCGTCTGAACGGAGCTCCGCTCTTGTGGACCTTTATTTAAAAACTTTTCATTGACTAAAACTTTGTCTAGTTTTCCCAGTTAGGAGCCAAAGTTTTCCTTTCTGTAGTTAATAAAAATTATTACCGAAGTGAACAGATGTTGCAAAACGCTGAAAGCTCGCTTTATTGCACAAGTTGAGCGAAATTATTAGTTTCTGTCCAAAGAACAGTCATATCACTTGAGCATTGGGAAATTTAGCGGCAACTTGTATTGCGCAACTATTCACTTAACGGTATTGTTAGCCCCTAAAAGACTGGTTTATGAACTTGACAATAAACTGATGACTTCCGATTATTAGCGAAGAATCATTGCCATCTCATGCATTTTAATTTATGTTAATCGATCAACTAGGAAGCCAGCAAACAACAAACGAGCAAATTAATTCGATTTTTTTTGGGAAAGAGTTTCACTTTTAACGGCAGGTTTTTCTGCTTGTCCTATTGATCGGGGCAAAACGCAATTTTTCCGCAATTACCCTCAAATCGCAAACACCCTGCCACTAATTAAAGACACTTTTTGCATGCTTTTTCCCCTATCGGGCCTCCCCACCACGCCATACCTGAGATGAAAAAATGTTGGGCAGCGTATCAAGTAAGCGTAAAAATCCAGCGCCTACCTAATAACCACCCTGTGGGAGCCGGAAGGGGTTGATGGGGGGTTGTTTAGACTGCCTTACTTAGTTACAAATATTTCTCAGGCCGAATCTGGAAGATTTCTGGAAAATTAACAAAAAATTTGAATGGAGTAGACAATGTTTTGCCTACTCGAGTTTGTGGTGTCCTCAAGACCTTTTTTGCCCGATTTATTGCCCACTTATTAGGCTGCGATGGGTAAATCGTGTGATTTATTGCGGACTTAGAGCAGATTCGTTCAGAGGAAGTTCAGAAGGAAACACAAACTGTGACCATTTCAAAAAAATGTTAGTACGTTAATGGGACAAAATGTTTTGATAATTGTTTCAGACTTTTAAAAATTAATAATTATGAATTGGAAATAAATGACCCACGAGAACGGTTTAAATTAACAGTGGAAATTTAATCAGGAAAACTTACATGAAAAAATTGTAATAAAAAAATCACAAGGACGGCAACAATGTTTCTTCCTGCCTCACTACCATTCCGTAAATTCTTGTAGTTTCTTAAGTATCAAAAGATGCAGTAACCATAGGTAAAAAGAGAAAGTGAGGTTCAAATGCATTTAACATTGGTTAGAGTAACGTTGTCACTTTGCCGGCAGTGCTGCCAACATTTTTGTGCGCATGACTGATACACATACCTAACTTCGCCACAGATGTCACAAAACTCCTGCAAAAGATTATATACTATATCCAGAGGTGTTGGACGTTTTGTCCGTTGAAGTGCAAACATGTTTGTGCCCGTGAAATCACTTTATTGGTCACTTGCTAGTATGCGATTTTGAGCAGTTTCTGCTATTCTGGTTAAATTTTCTTACAACCTGATGGGATTTAGGGTTGATTGTTTAGTGAAAAGGGCGCTAAACAATGTGACGGCATTTGTTGAGCAGTGTACAACTAGAAATTTTAGAGTAAACCGGGAAGGGATGGAGATCCCCAACATCTTCCCCGCATGCATAGCGGCGCGCGCTCTCAGCATCCCCAATCGGCCGTCAGTCTTCATCCGCTTCCCGTTCGGGCTCGAACCCACCCCGAAACATGCCGACTGTTTAACCCTGTAGTAAAAACAATTGATGCCAGGGGGGTTCAATTGCGAGTCACCCCGTATAGTTATGGAGACGTTAGTTTAGATAGGCGTGTTAAGAAACTAGTTGAGTCTTTTAGAGTTTATTGATATTCGGCGCGATGTCGGTGTTACGTTTGTATTTGGCGGGCTTTCTGACATTGACAGGTGAGTTTTTGCGCTTCGCCCATTGGTCCACCACGTTAACATATACAGGGTGATTCTAACAAAAAGTGTAAGAGTGGCTGGAAGGCATTTGCAGGGTGCCCCGTAAGCGAATGGTCAAAAGTGTTCTTAGTCGACATTCGAGAGCGACATTCTTTGGCTGAAAAAAGGACGACGGATCAGAATCAAATTCTATAGAGAAACATTTTACGGCTCCTCCACTATTGTCATATTGATGGTCAAAGTTCTTAAAAAAATGTTTTTTGAAAAATCAGGTGAATCGATTTTAATTAGCACCGCATAATTAAAAATAATTTTTATTATATTTGAATTTCTTACGAGTTAACATTACGTTTATGCTAAACTCCAGATTAACCAGTTAAAGCCGATATTAGCCAAGTTCAAAGTTTAACCGTAACATTATACGCTCATAACCATTACACAACGATTTAAACCCCTGATAAGCCACACAGGGTGGAAAGGCTAGCGAAAATACTCATATTAATTTCAACATTATAAATAGGAATGTTTATTTAACTTTGGGTCCAAAATTTTCGTTTCCCAGGAGGATTCTGTATATAAAGCGGTCCAAGTCAGTCTCATTAATTGGCAGCATTTGTAGCTTGCGCTCAGCTAAGGATTATACTGAATTGTTATCATAATCAGCAGAACAGTGTAAGCTTTCGAGCAAACCACTTCTGACGATGGGAGGCGCTAGTGATCGAGAAACGTCAGAAACCAATTCTAATGCAGGATGGCCGAAATACTCACCACTTTCTTCTTAGAAAGATATAGAAATCTCATTTTACTAAAAACTTTTCACTAGAATTAATTATTTGAACACTTCAATGTTTTATATATAATTTACGGTGTATAAATTGAAGCGCTAGACACTGAAACGGCAACAATCATACACGCAAAAACCCTTCTTGATATTGTGTTATCTACGAATCTCCGTAGCTCTTGGAGGTAAAGAAAACGAAATAGAGAACTGTAAACTGTGAAATAATCACAAACATCAAGATTAAAGACCTGCAAGATTAAGAACAAATTATGAGGGAAGATCAATTCTGGGTTAATCATTTAGAAGATTCTCATACAAAGTCAAAGGCTCAGTAGATAAAAATTCAATAGGGAAAAGCCGAAAAATGGGAAAAAACTCTATACAAGTTGAATTGAAAAAAAAATAATCGCAAATGAAATTTAAAATTCTAAGGTGATCAATTTGGTTTTATCGGTTAAACGATTTTCATTGAAAATCTATTTCAAAGACTGAATAGATAAAAGATCGAAAATCGGAAAAGAACCTAACAAAAGTTGACTGAGAGACATCTAAAAATTACTCGGAAAATTTGAAAAAATGCAAATGAAATTTAAAATTCTAACTCAAAACCGTCTTCAAAGACTCAATAGCTAAAAGCGGTAAAAATGAAAAAGAACTTTACAAACTTGACTTGAAAGACATTTAGAAATTACTATAAAAATCACCAACTTCATTTAAAATCGTAAGTCGAGTTCAGCTGTTGAGAATAGTACATAAACAAAAAACATTGCAAAGAAGGTTTACTGGAGGTTTAACTAAGCAAATAGTAAATAAAAAGAGGAAGAAGCACTGGAAGAGGAAGAAATACGATTGTTTAATAACTGTATTGAACTACTCTTTTTGAGTATCAACTTGAACATGTAAATTCAGTTAGTTTCTTTGGGTTGAAACTTGAACAAATCACTTTTATATTTACAAGGCATGAAGAAAATTAGTCGTTGTAATGAGTCCCACTCCGATGTGCCAGGTTAACTCCCGATAGGGATTTTTTTAGGCTGTGTTGAGTTGCGTTATTGAGTTGTTGCCGCTCAATGAGTTAACGAGTTATAACTCATCGGTTGGGTTATAAGGCATTTATTAAAGTTTTACGAGACCCAAGACTGGAATTTTCATTTTCTGAGTAACGTTTTACTACTTCAAACTATAAAAAAAAATATCATCTAGATTTTTCCAGCACAGAACTGAGTCCAAAGAAAGTCGACGTCTTTTCTTGTAAAATCTCTTAATTTTTTGCATAAAAGATTCAGTTTGCCAGTATTTTACACTAAAACGTTAGAAAAACGCGGTTTTTCTGTTTAGATACAGTGTTGTTTAGAAATATTGATCTAAAAGTGAAGAAACTCCAGTTTCTAAGAGTTTTCCAAATAAATGATTATAAACTTTCGCTTTTTCTGTTCGGGGAAATATTTTTGAATTTTTTTTACATTTTCAATGAAATCGTACTGAATGTTGATTTTTGCTGCTGTTTTAGCCCGAGTCTAAAGTAGAACTTTCCAGCCAAAGACGCGCTCACCGTAAAAAATCGTAAGTTCTAAACTGGGGCAAGTGCGTACGTGAAAATATTCCTTGCAGTAGTGAGTGAACGTTTGCATTCTAGAACTGAGAAATTTTCATTGAAATCGCACTGAATCTTYATTTTATGCTGCTGTTTAAGCGCGAGTCTAAAAATTAAACTTTCCAGCCAAAGAGGCGTYCTCCGTAAAAAAATCGTAACTTCTWTAMGGGGCAAGTTCGCACTTGAAAATATTTCTTTGCGGCAGTGAACGTTTGCATCTTAGAACTGGGAAATTTTCATTGAAATCGYACTGAATTTTGATTTTTKGCTGCTGTTTAAGCKCGGGTMTAAAAATAAAGTTTCCAGCCAAAGACGCGCTCTCCGTAAAAAAATCGTAACTTCTACACGGGGCAAGTCCGCACTTGAAAACATTTCTTTGTGGCAGAGAATGTTTGCATCTTAGAACTGAGAAATTTTCATTGAAATCGCACTGAATTTTGATTTTTTGCTGCTGTTTAAACGCGGGTCTAAAAATTAAAGTTTCTAGCCAAAGACGMGCTCTCTGTAAAAAAATCCTAACTTCTACACGGGGCAAGTGCGCACTTSAAAAYATTTCTTTGTGGCAGYGAATGTTTGCATYTTAGAACTKAKAAATTTTCATTGAAATCKCACTGAATTTTGATTTTTAGCTGCTGTTTAAGGGCGGGTCTAAAAATAAAAGTTTCCAGCCAAAGACGCGCTGCGCTCTCCGTAAAAAAATCGTAACTTCTACACGGGGCAAGTCCGCACTTGAAAACATTTCTTTGTGGCAGAGAATGTTTGAATCTTAGAACTGAGAAATTTTCATTGAAATCGCACTGAATTTTGATTTTTTGCKGCTGTWTAAGCGCGGGTCTAAAAATWAAAGTTTCYAGCCAAAGACGCGCTCTCCGTAAAAAAATCSTAACTTCTACACGGGGCAAGTGCGCACTTGAAAATTTTTCWTACGGTAGTGAAAGTTTGMATCCTAAAACTGARAAATTTTCATTAAAATCGCACTGAATGTTGATTTTTGCTGCTGTTAATTGAAAATTTTCCTTGTGGTAGCAAACGTTTGCATCTTAAAACTGAGAAATTTTTAATGAAATCGCACTGAATGTTGATTTTTTGCCGCTGTTTAAACACGCGCCTAAAAACTGTTGTTATAGAGCAAAAACGCGCTCTCCTTAAAAAAATCAGAGCGATGAGCGATGGGCGGCGAAATTTCCAAGTAATTTTTTAATTCACTTTTGCTTTGTGGTTTTCGGTTTTCGAGAAAACCTTAATGGTTCCCGGAGAAAAACGGGAGGAACTTATTTCTGTTTCTGTCCCAAATTCGACGTTGGAAAAAGTTTTTGGAAAAGGTTTACAAAGCTATAAATTTATCTTGTAATTTTTCGATTAAAAGACCTCTAGATCGTCAGTATTTTTAGGTGAAACTCTGCAAAATAGAGCGTTTTTGAGTAGAAACTAAAGGAAAAAAATCAGTCAAAATTGAAAAATCACATTTTCTCAACAAACTCTATAGTCTTCAGAGGTGCGAGATTTCCAAATAATCTGTTATACATTTTCGCTTACTCGGTTCGTTTTTTGTAAAGAAAAGTATTCGATTGTTGCTCCAAATTCGAAGCTGGTCATTCAAAAAATGGTCAGCATTTTTACGTAAAACTGTGAGTGAAAATTGAGCATTTAGACAAAAAAGTAACTTGGCTAAAACTGGAAAATTCGTATTGAAATTGCGTAGCACTGCGCCAACTCCTAAAAATTCACTGAGTAGTTACCCAGGCCTAATTTTTTTAGACTAATGTCCCTAAAAAATATTAGCTTCAGCTAGTTACCCAGAAACAATCCCCATTTCCCACTGCCCTGATGTGACAAGCATTGAAGCAGTTGTTCCTAGCCATGAACTAGTATCGAAATCGGTCCTTCAACCCTTCATAGGCTCGAGACCGTACTTAATAACAGATGGCGTATTGATGTAAGGGTTCCACTGGCACGAGTATGTACATACGTGTAATAATAAGACAATAGAATCCCTATAAAAGGGACTGGGACTACATGAGAGCGCTTAAACCGAATAGACAAGGGCGCTGTTAAGCGATATTCCTTTGTTTAAGGGGTTGATGGTCTGTGCACGACAATTTTGTACTTCATTGGCCATAAACCGGTAATCAGCTTGGTTATTGAGACGTTTTCCGTTTCGGCCATTAGATTCATTTACTGGCTAAATTAAAATGTCTGCGTCGAGTCCCCAGATCACCATTTATCCGTCACACAGTCCCAAAAGAACAAATATAACTTTGCCATAGTTCATTCCACCAGATTTTCTCCCAGCGGAAGCCAGCTTGTCTGAAAGTTTACTTAATTCCTGATTTCTCCAGTTGGGAGTTCCATTCTATTCCATTTGGACCAAGTTTCTTATTGACGCCCTCCTTGTCTCAAGGGAATCGTGAAAAAAGTTGTGTCAGCTAACACTTTAGGACGCCAAATATTTCATTTCACAATGGAATTGAAATGCTTTTTATCTGGTCATTGTTAGAAACGTGGACAGTTTGCTTGTTCATAAGAAGGAATTCAGTTTGTAAGATTTAGCAGCAGAACATGGAGAGTGTAAAAATGGACCAGATTGTCGTACAAGGAAGCGCTTAGAAGAATTGTATAATATTA